TCATATAAAGCATCTTATAATATAAATATATAAGACACCATTATATAAAAATTGGTGTACAAACTTTTATCCATAACACTTTGTCTTTTGACCATTCAAAATTTTCACAGACATCTTTGGTTTTTTATATCAAATTGTACTTTACCAAGAAGCTATGCCTTTAATATCAGATTCTTTTATTTGTGCACTAACAAATGAATCCTAACTCTCCACTTCTATACCCCTGCAGTGCACTGTTTCTTTTGGTTATTGGAACAGCCTATTTGGAAGCTCAAGGAATATGGGAGCCATTTCGAAGGCGACTATCCTTTGAGGCCTCGAATCCACCCTTTGATGTGGGAAGGCCATTTGATCTCAGGAGAATCGTTGGTATTTCGTCTGAAGGAAAGTATGTTCACGTGCTGGCCGTAAATTTTCTGCTATACATGTATTTGGCTGATATAATTGCAAGAAAAAATAAGTTTCTCATTTTTGTCCTTGCTTAAGAGGAAAAAAAATCTTATTTCTTATTATTTAATGATACCCTGTATGTAAGCCCTCAGGTACTTAGACTTTATACCAGATACCATGTTTTTATTATATTGCTGAAAGTTAAAAAATTATTAGTTAGATCCCTGACTTGATTCATACATTCTCTAATAGAAGAAACCTTAGAGAGTTGTGAAAATTATCCCTATTTCTTACTGTCTTTTCCATAGGGTCATTTATATTTGTGATGATGTACTGATGAAACAAAATTTTTTAATGCTAGATTTTGTAGGTTGCCATTTACTGATCTTCAGTTGGTCCTTTTTTCAGCTTGAACACACTCAGCTGTGACCCCAGTCACAGTAGGGGGTTCTGTGGAGCAGGCGGCTCCTCATCCCGACCCAGTGCCGGGAGTCATAAGCAGTGTGGCCCATCAGTCCACCCGCACAGCAATCACAGCAATAGAAACTCAGCTGACGTGGAAAACGTCAGAGCCAAAAACAGTTCCAGTACTTCTAGCAGGACTTCTACACAAGCAGCTTCTTCACAGTCTGCTAGCAAAACAAGCCCCTTTGTCTTAGATTCAAACTCAGTGACCCAGGGTCATGCAGCGGGCAGGAAGTCCAAAGGGGCAAAACAGAACCAGCACAGCAGCCAGCACCATGCCCACAGCCCTCTGGAGCAGCACTTGCAACCTCCACCACCACCATCAGTGCCTCAGCACCGGGAGCCACCGCCCGAAAGGCTGTCTCCCGCCCCCCTCACTCACCCTTCAGATGCAGAACGTGCCAGCAGCACAAGGCACAGCTCAGAGGACTCAGACATCACCAGTCTCATAGAAGCCATGGACAAAGACTTCGACCACCATGACTCCCCACCCCTAGAAGTGTTTACAGAGCAACCTCCATCGCCACTGTCAAAAAGCAAAGGTAATCAATTGTCTGTTCTCACTGTCAGAAAAATGTGACATGTGAGGGAAAAGCCAGTGCATGTTTAAGGAACTGTTGTGGTTGTAGTTGTGGTAAACAACTAATTTGGTAGGTTCGACTGGCTCAGATTTAACCCCAATGTTGGACATCAACTTTTTCATCAAAATGCAAGTAGAGGAATCTATTTGTCATAGAAGATACATTTGTATGTCTTAGATTGCTTACCAAAATCAGAAATTTATTAAACCTCTACTTTTTTTTCAGCTGACTGTGATGATTGTGTTATTGTGATAGTTTAGGCTTTTTTTAATTGTGAAAAATAATTTTGAGCACAGTGGTAAAATGTAAGTCATTTGCCTTTTAGCCTCAGAATTAGGATTTCTGCACAACCTTCATTTTAGAGCAGGGGTTGGCAAACTACAACTAATGGGCCATATCACCACATGATTTTATAAATAAAGTTTTATTGGAACATGGCCATGCTCATTTGTTTACATAATATCTGTGACTGTTTTTATGCTGCAACAGCAGAGTTGAATAGTTGTGACTCAGACAGTATGGCCCACAAAGCTAAAAATATTTATTATCTGGTCCTTTACCAAAAAAAAAAAATTGCCAGCCCTACTTTAGAGTTCCACTTACTATTAGTTATCTATTTCTGATTGCCCCAGAACCTAGTAGCTTAAGATAACATTTACTGTCTCACAGTTCCTGTGGGTCAGGGATATGGATGCAGCTTAGCTGGGTCCTGTGGCTCTCACAAGACTCTCCTCAAGGTGTTGGTCAGGGCTGAAGTCATCTAAGGTTCAACTGAAAGTGTACCTGCTTCCAAGTTCACACAGGTGATTGACAGAGGATTCAGATTTTCATAGGCTATTGGACTGAGGGTCCCAGCTCCTTGCTGGCTGTGGCCAGAGGTCTGTCATACCTACCCTTCATGGAGCAGCTCATATCATGGTGGTTGGCTGCACCCGAACGAGAACATAAGTGCCAAAGAGAAAGCGAGCTAGCAGGATGGAGTCATTGTGGTTCTTTTTTAAAAATTTTTTCATTTTAAAGATTCAGGTTTAGGTATACAGATGTTCATTATGCAGGTACCCTTGTTGATGAGGTGTGCTCCTCCCTCCCCTGGCAGTTTCCCACTACTGCCAGTCCCAACCCCGCCCTCCCCTGGCAGTTTCGACTACTGCCAATCTCTTTCTTATAGTATTATGATAGTTGTTCAAGGTCCACTTATAAGTGAGAACATGTGATGCTCAGTTCTTTGTTTCTGTGATAGATCACTCAGTATTATAGCCTCTAAGTCCATCCAAGTTTCTACAAAGTTCATAATTTTGTCCTTCTTTATGGCTGTATAATATTGCATTATGTATATGTACCACATTTTTTAATCCAGTCTTCTTTTAATTGGTAGCACAGTTGGTTTCATGTTTTTGCTATTGTGAATCACAGTTTTTTATGATCTAATCTCAGAAGTGACATCCCTTCAATTTTGTAGTATTCTGCTCATTATAAGTATGATCCAGCCCACACTCCAGGAGAGATAATTCCACAAGGTCATATATACCAGGGGGTGGGCACCGCTGGAAGCCATCTTAGAAGTCTGCATCACACATAAATAGATAGGCCAATTTGTAACTTCCAAAATCAAAATGTAAACACCAGTAGATGTCCTGTATTTCAGTTTTATTTCTTTGCAGCCTGAACTTTGCATCTTGCTTTCATTCTTGTGGCAACCATGCTAGTATACGATATCCCAAGCCTATTTGAGTCTCTCCCTCACTGATTTACCAAGGAGTTTTTGCCTTCAGTTGCACAGAGAACAGGGAGCTTGGTGGCCTTAAGAGGCAAAAAAAAAAAAAAACCCTAACATTCCAGAGTCTAGGAGTTTGGAAAATTTCTTAATCCCACTGATATGAAGACTAGCTATATTGAATCCTCTTTGAATTACATGCATTTGGATTTGTAAAACAGTCTTATTCAACTTTTATAGAAATCCTTCTTTGGCTACCTCATTATTGATGGAGCTTACATATTTTAGAGTTTTTAGAGTAATAGTCAGTAAATGCTTAAATGGTTGTTTCTTTATTAGATCAAGTTACATTGTGTTTTTTCCATGTTGAGGGCATGAATAAAAGAGACATATATGTTCCTTTCTCATCACAAAGAATTGGGCAGTCAAGTTGAATACTTCATTGACTATAATCTGAAATAGTCTTCTGGCATTAGTATGATAGGTACACTTTTGCTTTCAGGGTCACTGATTTAGAATGTAAATTTTAAAATGAAAAAAGTTGTTTTAATTTTCATAGTGGTCCTAGAGACATCCTACTAAAAGATATATAATGATGGTACATGAACGCCACATTGTTAGTGGTTCTTCAACCTATGGGGAAACAGTGGTTCCAAGCTTCACTTGAGTGGCCTCTCTACTTTCTGTTCTTCCCACTGATGCTGTTTAGAAAGGAGGAGGGAGCCCAAGTCTATATATTTCTTAATAAGTGTATTATACGTATAGAAAGCCAGTCTTTAAAATAAACTTTAGAAGGTAAGCATTGATCTCAGGGTTGCAAAGTAGTCATGAAATTATAGACTTTCAGCTGGGCAGAACATTTATAATCTTTCAAAAGTTTATCCCCACATCCCTGCAAATGGTCATCAGGCTTACATTAAATATGAACATTTTCTTTTCCGAAGCAGCCGGTTCTTCCCTCCCCTCCCCCCACCCCCCACAATGTCTCAAACAAAAATTTTTCTTGTAATGAGCTTATGTAATTTCTGGCCTTTGGAGGCTGTACAGAATGATCTCTCTTCAAATTAATGTGATAATCTCTTTGGATCTTGCCTTCTCTGATTGGATGACTTGCAGGCATCCAGCCGTTCTCTGGTCATCCTCCAGTCACTGTTCCTGGTGGAAGGTGGGGCCCAGACTCTTCCCATTCATGGTAGGCCTGAGTAGGGACTCATATAGCTGGACAATCATTAGGTTCTGTATTCTGGTGGTTTCTCCACCTGTCAGACATAACCCCCAAAGACTAGACAGAGGCCATTGTAGGAATGAGGGTTAAAAATCTAAGAAAGCTCTGAACCTGGTACAGTTTGGTTCTTAGTAGCTGCATTAACCAGAGAATGGTGGTTTCTGCAGCCATTCTAGATTCTGACTTTGGCAGTCTGACAGGTGTCTTTGAGGGTAGGAAGAGGCAGAGAGGTATGGCGTCACGAGGCCAGTCTAATACCATCAGACAGGCACAGACCAAATCCTGACTCTGCCACATACTAGCTCTCTGACTTTGGAGAAAATTACCCCTCTGAGCCTTCACTTGTTATTTTTAAAGTGAAGAAAATAGTTACTACCTACATCATAAGGTGTAGCTACTGCTGTGGTTATTATTAGGACCAGGAGTAGTACATAATGTCTTTACCCTGCTAAGCTGAAGGTGGCTATGGAACATTCCAGCAGGATTATCTGTTTGAAACTTGGTCTTGTGGGTGAGAAATAGGACAAGCAGAGGACTGAAGACAGAAGCCAGAGGGCAAAGCCAGCAAGAAGACGGCCAGCCAGTAGTGTGACAGAAGGCAGGTAGAAGTTGTGGGTAGCAGATCCCGGCAAGGACAGATGATACAAAGGCAGAACAGTGCTCCACAGAGCCTGGCAGTTAGAACATTATTTGTGACCTTGGCAAGAACAATTTCAGTGAAGCAGTAGGACTGGAGACCAGATCACTGTGGCTTAGAGAGTAACTTTCACATCAGATTATAACAGTGGCCACTAATTAGGGGTGTGTTGGGCATTTACTCTTTAACCTGGATTTTGCATATTCTTTAATTTTTAGCAAGAAAAAAAGTATGTGTATATTGTATGGTAGTTTTGTGGTTTTTTTGTTGTTGTTTTTTTTGAGTTGTAGTCTCACTCTGTTGTCCAGACTGGGGTACAGTGGCACACTTCCGGCTACCGCAGCCTCCTGGGCTCCAGTGATCCTTCCGCCTCAGCCTTCCAAGTAGCTGGAACTACAGGCACGCGCTACTCCGCCCAGCTAATGTTTTATTTATTGTGGAGATGAGGTCTCACCAAGTTGCCTGGGTGGGTCTCGGACCCATTGACTCAGGCAGTCCACTCACCTCGGCCTCCCAAAGTACTGGGATTACAGGCTGAGCCACCAAGCCTGGCCTATAGTAGTATTTTTAATGGGAAAAAAAAAAAAAGAATAACAAACAGGAACATGGTGCTTGAAAATATCTATGGGCCAACGTCACAAAGCCCATAGAGCTAAGACAATGCTGATCCACACATGTTAATGTTCCAGATGTGACTAACACACCCTGGGGATTGGCACTGCTGTTACTGTTCTTCCAGTGAGGAAACTCAATCTAAGAAAGGTTACATCAGGCAGACGTGGAAGCAGGTATCTGTAATTCTAACCCCTGCTCTGCTACCTCCCCAACAAAAAAAGATTGAGAGAAGAAAATGAGGAGGTAATTGGTGAAACCAAGTGCCCAAGAAGGTGGAGTGGGATGAAACCCAGTTGAGCAGATTATTTTAAAAGGACATTTATTCCACAGGTATGTGGATGCCAATGAATTGGCAGTGATGAAGAGCTGGCATATGGGTCATCTGCTGAGACTGAAGGGGGACATGGTAGGGTAAAAACAGAAAATAGACAACATTTGGAATAGAAAGATCCCAATTAGCTAAAATCTTGTTGATTGGGAATTGGTGGGACATGAGACTTGGATTTGCAGAGCAACCTCTCAGGCAACATTGCAGACCCTGCTAAGGACCATATTTCTCCATTGTACTCTGCAACCCAGGGTTGAGGAGTGGAAACTGCGAACTTGGAGAAAGACAGAGTCAGAGTTCTGCAGGACAGAGATGGGAAAAGACTCGGGAAGTGCTGGCAGGAGAGTGATGGATGTGCCATGTGGAATTAGCAGGAATTGGCAGTGGGGGCTACCTTTTGCCAGAAAGAATTTCATAGACAAGGAGAACAAACAATTCAAGG